TTTTTAAGTTTTAACAGACCTTCCGAGCAGCCAAAGCTGCAGCCACACCGGTAGCCAACACCTTAAGATCCTCCCTTTCGTCGCTCTTAATTTTAACCACCTGAGAAAAATTGTTTTATGGAATCAGACAATAGAAAAATTGATACAAACAATACAGTTTTCAAAAGCTATTTCCACTGTATACCCGTTTTTCAATATTAACACCACTTTTCCTCGTCACAGGAAATACTGTAGAAATTTTTGTCAAAATAATAAGAGCGTTGCGAATTTCCATGTACTCAGTGGACTCCAAACATTGTGCCAGTAACCTTGTCATCCTTCCACTCCATTTCCAATGCACCTATAAAAAAGTGGATTACATCTAAACCAACATATTTATATAAAAAAACTGTTTCCAAGCAAGCTTACAAAAACAAAAAAGTTGGAACCAAAATACTAATGGATGACAGAAATATAATGGATGACAGAAATAAAATGGATGACAGAAATACAACTAAAAAGAGAATTTTATGAAAAGAAGGAACTGCTTAAAATGAAAAAGATAATAATTGCTACTTAGAACATATATCAAATATGATGCGGCCAAAAAAGATAATTAGGATGACAGAAATATAATGGATGACAGAAATACAACTAAAAAGAGAATTCTATGAAAAGAAGGAACTGCCTAAAATGAAAAAGATAATAATTGCTACTTAGATCATATATCAAATATGATGCGGCCAAAAAAGATAATTACGCAAAACATTTTATTCCTTTTCAACCAGGTTCTTTCCTGAGAATAGATAACTGCACATAGTCACTCACTCGGACTGTTTAAGGCATAGAAAAACATTGGAGACTCCCATAAATACAAAGTTTTTTTAATTAGTAAAAAAAAGAAAATGTCCCAATTCTTTACAGGCGGCAATATTAGGCCCAAAGTTCATAAAAAGTGCCAATTTAGTTCTATTTTTTTTTTAAATGGGTTGAAATAATCCCCGATAAGGATTATTTTTACTCACATTAAAATAATTTGGGACTAATTTAGCACTTTTATAAACTCTGAGATCAAAATAACCTCATTAGTCTGGGGACTATATTCACACTTTACTCAATTAAAAAGTAGTTCATTTCAGTGTTTTGATAACAAAAGGGAAAAAAAGCATCAATACAAAGTCAAGATTGGCATCATGTACTTGGAAGGTAGTTACAAAGTGTTGAGCGAAAATAATGAACTTAAAATAATGTTCATAGCAGAAGCACTGAAATTAGATATTCAAGAACTTTTCGGTGGTAAAGACGTACTCGAATAAATTGACCATATGCCACACGCTGACTATTGGGATATCTGTAATAAACAGCAAAACCTGGCATGTTTCCACATTCATGTTCATAAATAGATTCATCATTCTGCAAAACAGAAGCTTCTAAATAAATGGTGAATAAAAAAGTAATTTATTTAAAAAAAATAATTATGGTTTAATTTTAATTACTCAACAACCTTCCAATAGTATGCCATTTTAAGGGTCTCATATAAGAACCTTCCCAGTCTGCCAGCTTCATACTCAGTGCAGCAGAAGATCATGGGCTGTAACGTCTTACAAATAAGAACATCAATATGATTGACCGTGTTGAAGAATGGTGTTCCAAGCGAATGTAGCATGTGCACAAATTTAGCACAATAAACAGCATCAGGCATGCTAAAGATGCAGCGCGGAAAAATGCATCGCTGAAGAAACTCCATATTAATTTTTAATGTGTCGGGACAAGAACTCAACCACTTGTCCTTTTCACGTCTAAGCCTATGGCGCACGGACGTAACATGTTGTTCGTGCTTTTGAAGCTCACTGACAAGTCTATCGAGTAACTCTTGAATTCGTTCCTTATCCTTCTTACGTTTCGTAATAGCGATGTTCGAATTATCAGAAAGCTCTTCTAATGCTTTAATGGCAGCATGCTGCTTCGCTATTTCTGCTTCATATCGATTTCTTGGAACATAAAGATCATAAAGGGTGAGCCCCCAAAATGTGGCATAGAGGTCAGGGGAGAGGCTATTCCAAGCTTTTACAGGTAGCATTGATCTAACTACTTCCAGGAGATCTGACCACCTGCAAAAAACAAAAGGATAGTTGAACTTAGATGATAAGAAAATCAACAGGCATAAGAGCTCCAGTAGTCCCATAAAACAGGCGAAAACAAAAATATCATTGTGCAAGAGAACGCACATTATAGGATTTTTGGAAATACCCAGATCCAAAACAAGGTTGCTAGAAGATTGCTCAAAATCATTTCCTTCACTCGCCATGAGTGTATCTTCCATGGCATCAAGGGGCCATAAGACTTCGGGACTGGTGGTAGATTTGAAGAGCCTCAGCACCGGTCGATATATTAGAAAAGCCACCTGATTTGAAATAGATCAAATGCATGATAAGTTAAATAGCACACTATAAACAATTCAAGGTGTTAACCATAACCTATTATAAGCTTATTCAAGCAAGTGAGAAGTGAGAAGCTATAGCGAAGGATAAACAGTTCAATTTAGCATAAGCTTAAAGCCAAAACACGGTGGGAGAAAGCCAGCTTGTACAAGAAGAGTGAAGAAAGGATGACGGATTTGAGAGGAGCTATTATAAGCTTTTAAATGATACTAGATATATTACAGAAAGTGAAAGCTAGAGTGAATGAAGTATTACCTCTGGTTCAAGGTGATATTGGTGAACAAGATCATTGAGATGGGGGATTAGCTGAGCATACGTTGAAGTTGGAGCAACAGCACTTACGAGAAATTCCACATACTGAAGAAGTGTCCCATGACAACGGTCAAATTGCTCGCTAACCATTTTAATGTATGGAGCATCAGCATGAATCACAACCCTGAGCATAAAGTAAGACATTTAACAAAACATTAAGAAAAAAAATGTGTAGTTGCCGAAAATTAGATGAATTGTTAGTCATTGCAATTACTGATCAAATATTATACCAGAGATATTCAAAATTAATATTTTTCATGGTGATTTGGGTGGAGGGAATGAGGTCTAATTTTGTTAAGCAAAGGAAAGAGAAACAGGCAAGAATGAGAACGTGTGTTAGTGCTGTTTAATCTAAAACGGGTCATATAATTCAAATTATTCTATAATTGATTAAAGCTGACAATCTTACATGGAGCGGTGCTGTGCTATAAGTAATAAAAGCGGTATAGCCAACTTAGGTTCATCCTTTGGAAGTAAGGAGTCTCTCAACCTCATAGTAGATTTGCTTAGTGCCTGAATTAAGAAGAAATTAAACATAAAACAAATAATCTCTTTTTAATGCTAGCACAATAGTAAATAGAAATAATTAACACAAGACAAAAGTGGGTTCATAATAAGCTATGTGAAAAAACTAACCATTCATGTCAGCCAAAAAAAAAAAATCCAAAAAGTAGCAAGGACAATAAAACAAAACATTGACTCTGGTTTTGACACTTAACTGTCGTATTTATGTCAGCCAAAAAAAACAAAATCCAAAAAGTAGTAAGGATACAAAATTGAACAGAGTATCATCTACTAATTACAGACAATAAACCAAAACATTGACTCTGGTTTTGACACTTAACTGTCGGAAGATGATAAATGACGAGGATTGATTGATTCTGATGGAACCATCCTATTATTATGATAATGGAAAATGGGGGAGTACAAAAAATGAATGATCAAGAATTAATATAGGAAATAGAAACAGAGCACATCAAGAAAATCAAATCAACAGCTTAAAGCACAGAAATGCAAAAGCCATAAAACAAGGAATATTAATTCAAACATATAAATGTTAATTAACAAATATTCTGAACTGCAGCAATCTTAGGATCGCCCAGTATAAAAGCTTCTTTGATTGCAGTCCATATGATATATGCTTTTATAATAGCACAAATTTATCCCACAATGTCTAGCTACAGTTGAAATTAGGATTCTTCTGACATAATTTACCCTTTTTCCCAACTATTTGGAGTATGCTTTATAAAAAACCAAATTTTATCTGTCATACATCTATGCAAAAGTGCAAACTAATTTGTTGCCTAGTTGGTTAAGGTATGTAGTTTTGTGGATTTGAGCATCAATCATCTGTTTTACTCGAGTATTTCAACCTTTCAAATTTTAATCATCATATCGTAAAAATTCAGAAACCAAATCATATCTACATTGTGTATTATAATTGAAATGATGGGGTAGGTGAAACTAACTTTAAGGAGTGAATGAATGAAAGAACGGTTGCAAGAAAAAATGCACATATGTTTTAAAACTGTATGGAATCCCCAAGATATGCCCTACTAATTCTCTCACTCTGTGGTTCTGGCCTGCATTGTTGTCTTAGGAATGTAGAACAAACTAATATGAAACTGACAACAAATGCACTTGCCCCTTTGAACAAAAAACTAGCAGAACGAGAGGGAGGGAGAGAGGGAAAGAAGACAAATCAAAGAGAACAAAAGGACTCAGAGAAGAAACAAGACAAGTAGGAAAATTTGTGTATTAGGGTCACCAAATGGTTTAGCACATCTGAGTGCTTTGGAAACCCATACTCGTACCTTCTAATACAGACTTCAACCTAGGAACTCTAAACAAAGTACATGTGAAATTCTAAAAAAGACTCAACCTGAATTGATAGTAAGCAGGCGTTATTTCACGCAATGGTATAATGAATCATGATGGGTTCAATAATTTAGCCATATGTATCCTACTTATAGTGATTACAAGAAAAGAAAAGAAATGTGCAATAATATTGTATTAAAAAAAGGCAAAAATACCAAATATTTTCTTACAATTAATTGAATAAATACTAGTGTTGTTGATTTGATTTGTAAATATATCCTAAAAGCTACTCCCACAAAAAACTCCTTTAAGCTTCATTAGCATCAATTAGGATTTGTATGGATTTGATTTGGGAAACAGTGCATCAAACAGATCCATAATTACCTTGAATTTTTATCAAATGCATCTCTACTCATGTCTCTATACTAATTGAATAAATTCCTAAATAAATTTTAGTGTTGTCGATTTGCTTTGTACATATATCTTAAAAGCTACTTCCACAAGAAGTCCTTTAAGCTTCATTAGCTTTAATTAGGATTTGAAGGATTTGATTTGAGACGGTTCATCAAACAGATCCATAATCACACAGAATTTTTTTATCAAAGGTATCTCTACTCATGTAACTTTTTTCATCTTATGATGTTCATGGTTTTTTATGTTTTGGCTTAATTGTTTAAAGAACAATAACAGATTTAGAGTTCAACCCAAAATGCGCTATGGTGATCAAAAAATGAGTGTTCTATGAAAATAATTGTGAAGACGCTAAACAAGAAGCCACTAAATGATGATGCAAAAATCATTATTTTATGATATCAAGAACAAATAATTTTTCTAAAATCTGGTTATAAAATTAATGGTCAGCATGCTCAAAACAATTGCCTCGTTACTATCTAAGAATGCATCACGCTAAAATGGACAATTGCAGCAAAAGTCCATGAAGGAATGAAGTTCAACTTTAAATACATTAAAAGCACTATCGCTGTAATAAAAATTACAATTTGAGACTTAGATGATATAAAATATCACACCATACACACCAAAAAAACAATAAATATTGACATTTAAAAGAAGAAGCTTGCATATTAATTTTTACGAAAAGTTATATTCATAGCACCCAAGTCTTATGCATTTACTTATCTAACACCCAAACTTTGATTTATACAAGTGAAACACTTTTTTCTGTTACTTGGGTTGTAAAAAACAAAGTTTGGGTGTGAGATAAAGTAAATGCATAAGAATTGGGTGCTATGTATGTAAATTCCCCTAATTTTAAAATGTGCTTCTCGAATAGCAGATGAACACTTACTACGACTAGCAGATAAACACTTACTACTGCAACTGTATGAATAACTAAGCTGAAGAAAATCTTTTTAGAAGTAAACAAAATCATAGATCCTACCTTGTTGTTCCTAGCCATACCAAATAAAGTTGCTTGAAAACGTAATGTTTCACTTCCTGCCATAGCATCAAGTTGTTCCTCAGTCATGTTCTCAGTGTACTGAACATTTGCCATTTGTTGAATAAGCTCCTGTAAATTTGATTTAAAAAACAATAAAACAAAGAAGCAACGTGTTGAAGAAAAAAAAAGATAGACAACAACAATATTAAAAAATACCTGAAGCAAAACAAGCTCAATGCCCACACCCTTCTTCAATTGGTTAACAAGATACTGGAAAAGGCCTCTCAACTCCATTGAGGGGTACTTCTTGCACCTGGAAGAAATTATTAATAATTGAATAACAACAGCAAAACCAAACTTGTGGGGTACATCCGTCCAATTTGGGTAAAAAATAATGAAATGCAACAAAATAATAATAATAATAATACAAATCTACATGAGCATACAATAAAGTAAATGCAATACATCCAATGTAACAACAATCTAACAGCAAAGTGAAAAGTATATCAAAAACACAACCCGACCTCGTTGAATAGCAATAAGCAGTGATAATCACCCTATGAAGACTGGCTTCTGCTATTGGATAAGATGGATTCCCTTAACCAAGCCACTGCAAATGAGTTGTCAGCTCATTCTTCAATAAACACATAGTCAGAGATCACACTCTTCCAACTACTAGAGAGCTCAAGATTTCATGTTCTATTTCACTCCCCAATTGGGGTTCTTTTCACCTTTGCCTCACAACGCTACTTCACTATCTGTTGCCCAGGAATATTTAGCATTCCAAAAGGCGGCCCTTTGTAACTCATATTGGATTCCACGTGCCCCATGGTACTCCGTTGCCCAGGAATATTTAGCCTTCCAAAAGGCGGTCCTTTGTAACTCATATTGGATTCCACGTGCCCTATGGTACTCGGGTCAAACTGTAAGCTAGTGATGCTTTCTGCTATTGGACTATCACCATTTAGGGTGCAACACTCCATCGCTTCGCCTTGTAGCATGGCGCTTGTATTGCTCTCCCATAACCCTATATGCACTATTTAGATTGCTCCCATTTTGCCCGCCACTACTATGAGAATCACTTTTGCTTTCTTTTCCTCTGGCTACTAGATGTTTCAGTTCATCAGGTTGTCTCTTGTCTGCCAAAGGATTCAACATTAGTTGCAAAAGTTGACCTATTAAGGAATCTTCAGATCTATGTTTATATTCAACTCATTAAGCATTTCATCGCTTGCCATGCCTGTACTCATCTCCTGATGCCTTGATACTATAAGCCTTTCGTCATTTGAAACTCACTATCTAGGGAAAGGTTGTGCTACCTTAAAATGATGCTAAATGGAATGATCTTATCAATATACATGAATGATAAATCATAGACCGAACTGCTGAATTAGATAAATTAAGTGATATCATAGAATCAACTAAGATCACGGGCCGGGTGTAATCAGACTTGAACTGTTGACATCCACCACAGAGTAAACCACCTATCATGCTTTTCTGGCTGATTCTACTGCAGAAACCAATGACAAACAATAACTCCCCTCACCCTCGAGCAAAGCTTACAACATTCATCGTAGTGTGCTCTCCAAAGAACTCTTCTCAAAAATCTCAAAAAGGTGTTGAGTTGGAATAACATTCAAAGGATTCTTGTGGTTTCGGAGAATCAAGCTACAAGTGAACCAGTGACAAAGAGTACTCCCCCCTTTCCACTCGACTTTTGGTCTTCAGAATGTTGGTTTTAAAAACGAGTGATCGCCCTTCTTCGACTCTTACTGCCCAACCAGAGAACGAACAACTAACGCCTTCCAATTATTGAACAGAGTTTACAGTCAAATTGCAACCCCTAGATGCCAAAAGCATCCTTGGGGAGATCTCATAGATTCTACAGGGTGGAAACGATGAGTTCATGGATTTTCCTTCCTTTTGCCGCATTTTGCTCAAAAGGCTGAAGGGAGATAATGCATCCAATTATTCGCAAGCACCGGCTTGATCCTCTTTCCTTGGGATCCCATATGAGAGAGCCCTAGAAGAGCCATTGACTCCAACTATCATACCTGTAAGATCCATACTAGATCTGACCAACTGCCCATCCTACCTCTACGTTCTTGACAACCCATCATTTCGTCTCAGAAGACTTTTAGTAGCATGTTTCGATCATCTTCTCTACTCCTTAAAAAAAATGAGCCGCCAATTCAATTATAAGATACTACCATAATCGTCTGGATAATAAGACATCCAAACCGTAATTGCAACGCCCAATTGCAAGAGCAGAGCTCTACCCACTGAACTATATCTCCCGAGCCAAGTGAAGCATGCATGAAAAAGTCAGATGCTTTTTCTATTCTTTTCTCTGGTGCAATTGGGTCATCTTGGGCTTGAATCATAGACCTCACCTATGAAGTAAATCACCGCACCCACAATCCAACCAATTGGGAGAGAATCAATAGGTTCTTTTTCGAGAGAAGGAACTTAGTAAAAGCACTTAAATAAAATTATGTAAAATATTCTAATACATGAAAATAAGGATAGAAAGAGAAAATACAACAGAAATTTGAGAATTCCAAGTTAAACAAAAGACAACATCACAACAACCAAAATCACATAAATAGGCATATGGACTAAAATATGTTGTTTTCTTCCTATTTCTCTCATAAAATCAATCACTATCAATTTCATCTCATCATCAATCATAATCTCTTCTCGAGGTGTATTCTAGCATATCCCATATATTTTTTGAACTCATCCTTCTTCCTAGAAGACGTACCTATTCAAACTTTTAAGTTCTTGATCCTACATTTGATCAAAGCTTACTAATAATTTGCACCTTTGTTTCCCCAACTCTCAATGCGCTTTTTACATAACCATATGTCAAATTCCAAGAAACTAACTAATCTTTTATATTTGAACAATTAAAACTAGGAAATTTGAATTTCGAATTTACATGGCTCATAAGAACCACAATTGGAGAAATATTCTCATTATCTAGTTTTTAAAGTTCATTTCAGAATTAAATACGTCCATCTTTTACAAATAGAAGTTGAAACTCTCATTAAATAGGTATGCGACCTTTCAATCAAGGATCTGCTCATGCGACCTTTCGATCCAGGATCTGCGAAACCCTTCCTCTTACCAGCACCATTTCTATATCTAGAAATTAGAGAGCATGTTCAAGCAGTGGCAAAATTCCACGATGCCGGTCTCTCCATTCATCATATGTTCAAGATTAGTAGTGTTACATATTTGCTAACTTAGAATTAAACACGTTGTTCAACACTAAACCCAGATAGTTATCTAATATCTTTTTCTCTGCTCAAACTATAAGTCTGTTGTAAGATTCTACCCATTCCAATCAAAGTTCTAAAAAAATGAGCACCACCATTAAGTAAAAATACAGGACAGGAAACGGAAGCACAATCAACTACACGTTAACACATGCCTTCGTACAAAGAGTTGAAACATTTTTCGTTACAGCATAAGAGTTGAAGAACAATCAACTTAAATTTGAGAATAATCAAACAAGGTTAGAGCATAAATTGGATGCCTAACAAATTTTGTTCAAATTTTCGTACATAGGGAGGATAAAAAGGATAATAATGAGGTACTTGCTACTATTCATTCATTCATTTAAAGTTGATGATGAGGTGCAGAGGTGGTGGATTGTGATACGAAGTAGATGAGGGATTAATCCCTTGCTATTGCACCTACAAGTAGGTTAATAAGATAGGAGATGGTAGCCCATCTCTTATTTTTTTGCATAGGATCAATAGAAAATTATTGAATTATAAGAGCAGAAGAAAAAAAAAGCATTTAACTAAAGATTTTAAAGATTCATCAGAAATAAGGCATAAGCTCATAATACCAATACCATTGATCCCTTTTTACCCGACTGTTGAAGACAAATTATCAAACTTCAGGAGTTGGATGCCAGGATTACTAGATAATTCTAAAGATAAAGCGATATTGATAGTAAAGCACAGTGTGGTTTTAATAGTTGAATAAATTTAATACCAAAATTAATAGTAAGGTAAGAAATTGTACCAAGCAATTAAAAAATTACGCAGAGTAAAAAAAATTTAAAAATTAATATATTAGCATTCCAACATATAAATATATTAGAGAGAAATATTGACATTTTAGCATGATAAGAAGTCAAAAATTATGTCAATTTTAAGCAACAAATTGAGCAGCCCTCAAAATATCATGTAACAAATTGTGCAAAGTAAAAATATAATGTTTTGACGCGATTATGCAACAATGTGTTATATATACAACAACAAAACCTTTATCTCACTAAGTGGGGTCGGCTACATGAATCCTTTTTCTCCATTGTGTTCTATTCAGTGTCATATTTTCAATTAATCCTAATAAATTAAGATCATTTTTTATTCAATACACCCAAGTCATCTTGGTCTACATCTGCCTTTCTTAAAATAATAATGTGTTATATATAAAATAATTAAATCTTATGTACTTACATATTATTATTTTATTTAAATTCTGTTAACAAAAAATAAAACATGTGAAGGAGGAGACGGGCTATAGGCATAATGTGTCACAGGATGTGTGACATATGCAAATGACAATCTTTAATGATACAAATTATATTTATACAATATATATACTTAAGACCAACTTTTAAAAATGAAAATTTTAATTTGAACTCTTAAAAAAATACAGGCATATATATATATATATATATATAATTTTTTTTTTAGAAAGCCCAAAGACTAATATATTAAATAGAAAGTAGGATACAGATAGATTGTATGGGAGGGCCCAAACATGACACCCTGCTCACACAATAATCACCACATCAAATGATTCCAAAAAGAGAAAATACAACAAAATACATGATAGACCTAAAGATAAAACCAAAAAGTGCCAAAATACGGGGTATCAAGTAGCTAGAGAGCGACCAAATTTTGTCTTGCCTCTGCCTCTAGTTCTATGGAAGGAGCTAGCTAATAAATTGGTAAGATGAGTGTCATTTCTAGTAGTAACCAGTGTATCATTCAATAAATTCCTGAGCTCAAGTTGGCCTCTATTCTTTTCTTTCTCCTGGAATAGACCTATCATTCCTCATCCGAAGATTGACTCACCTGATCAGTGAAAATGTCTAAAATGTTTCGGGCATGTGTAGGTTTTCAAACATTAGAAGCAACTACTTGTTGTACCAGCTGATCTTTTAACGGATCGAAGGATCATTCTCGTGTGTCATGACATGTAAGTGGGTCTTCTTCAATAAGTGAGTGGTATCAACACATTTGGATCTTCATCTGAAACTGCGGTGTTAGAAAGAGGATCGGGTTGCACCTTCTCCGCAGGGAAGGACGCAGAGATGGTAGGTGGCAGATTTTTAGCAATATTCTGCCTTTAGATGAGGATGCAAGCGATAACAAATAGTTGAACTGTGGTCAAACATACTACAATGAGAGCAATAAGATGGGTGTGATTCTATTTCAAATTTTTGTCAACACCCGTTGTGAATAGTGTTAATCCATATCTCATCTGGAGCTGGTTGAGTGATATCTCTCTCAACTAACACACAAGTCACAGAGGGTTTGGTGACAGCAAACGTATGACTATCAATTTTGAGAGACTTACTGTAAGCAGTTGCTAAAGAGTAGAGAATTTTCATGTTGAACAGATGTAATTTTAACCTCGGAAACTTTATCCAAACAGGAATGATAGGGGACTCCGTTTTTGGACCAAAATTGACAGTCCACTTCAAAATTTTCATAAAACGGTTGTCGATCTTGATAACTTTTCGAGAGAAAATGCGAGTGTAATCGGCATCGTGAGAGAACTGAATAAGTATATGTCAACCGACGAGTAAGCCAATATTCCAACTACCCAATAGCTTCATAGCATCAAACTCTTTCGGAATGATCTCCAATTTTGGGTGACCATAAAGGAATTTTCGTACTAGAGCAAAATATCAAGAGAATGCGAGAGTGCTGGTTTCAACCTCAGTGAAAATAAGAGCAGATTTTCCATTTTTTTGTCAAGCTTTTTAATGAAATTGTGATCACCACCATCTTCAAGAGCGTCATGGAAAAATTGAGGAACATTGCAGGAATTGCTAATATGAAAACCAGACTCTAAACTTGAAAGAGAGCACAAGTAGGAGTAGGAAAGTCGTCGTAAGTGCATTGGCATAGGAACGCAGCGTCGAGGTCATAACAGATCTCATAGTCATCAGCGTCTCCTGTTGAATCCCAAAAACCCATAACAGTCGATGACTCCTGCTGAGAGTGTCAAGCGTCGGAACGAAGGGACGAAGCAGTCGGCGTCTCCTGCTGAGAGCGTCGAGAAGACGTTAACGTCGGCACGACCCAGCGTGTCCTCTGGCGCAGACGAGGGCCGTATATATGTTCCGCTCTGCTAGGGTTTCACCTCATGGAGAACCATAGCGTCTACTACACGGGATCTCTCGCGTCGTCTATTTCCCTGTTTTTTTTTTGTTGTTGACGTTGAAGTGCTCGCGTCGTCGCATCGTCGTGTTTCTAGAAGTAGAGCTGTGTTGCGGTGCTTCATATATATATATATATATATATATC